CAATAGGCTAGACGCTAGCTAAATAGTTTGTTGCTAGTAAACCTGCCAATATGACAACCAAATTCAAAAATATCCGTTGCTGAAAACAGCTGGTCAAACTAGAAACGTGGGAGGATTTGAAAGCTTTAGCGGCGGAGGGGTTAGGAGAAATTAATGTTCATCACTTACGTCTTTACAAAAACAAATCAATGCTAGCTAGCTATATTTTTTCCGTCTTGGACCTGCGTTTACAATGTATTCCATTTCAGTTTTGTGTAGTTTTTGGTTTAGCTTTCTGTAACTTTGTAGCAAGTACGTTCTGCATGTGTAGGCGCATATTGCGTCATGATTGCAAGGTGTCCCAATAGATTTTCTAACTGTCCCGATATCTTCTCCAACTGTCCTGTTATCTGGTTTTAATGCCCATTCTAGACTGCCCTTTTAGCCAATCAGAAACTAGTATTCAACAATGCTGTGGTATAATTAAGCAATATGGCCCTAGAGGGTGTGGTATATGGCCAATATACCATGGCTAAGGGCTGTTCTTATGCACAACGCAATGCGGAGGATATATTGGCCATATACCACAAACCCCTGAGGTGCCTTATTGCTATTATAAACTGGTTACCAATCTAATTAGAGCAGTAAAAATACATGTTTTGTCTTACCCGTGATATTTGGTCTGATATACCATGGGTGTCAACCAATCAGCATTCAGGGCTCAAACCAACTAGTTTATTATTATGAATAGATCAGTATTCTTAACCCCGTATCCAAACCTTTTCAAACTCATAAGACAATAAAGACACACAGGCACGAATACACAAACACACAGACGCACACATACAGTGGCTTGCGAAAGTATTCACCCCCCTTGCCATTTTTCCTATTTTGTGTAACAGGGTTGGTTATGTTTCCACTTGCCTCTAAAGAAATGTGTATTTAATGTTCAAGCATTCTTATTGGTTGGTTCAACTCTGATGACACTAAGGCGTGTTGTGATTGGCCCCGCTTGCAGCTAGGGGGAGATCGCGAGCGTCAGGTCTTCCCAGTATGAAAATGTGATGCAAGGGGTAGGTCATGTTCTGAATACCGTTTTATATTTTACAATGTGTACAAGGTTGCTGTACGTTACTGATTTATACATGTGTGGGTATATGGTACCTGTTAGAGATTGAGGGGCTTTCTGGGATGTGCATTGGCATATGATTGCTGTAGATAAGTGTGTTAGCTAGCATACACCGATGTAATGGTCACATGAGCCCACTGCTAACACAGTTGCCTTCATGCTACAGATTTTGCCATCGACAGCCATCAATATCGTTAAGCTCTGCACAACTAACGTGCTGTTTCCCATTTAACAACAGGTACCCCCCCCCCCCAAAGTCAATACTTTGTAGAACCACCTTTTGCATCAATTACAGCTGCAAGACTCTTGGTGTATGTCTCTATAAGTTTGGCACATCTAGCCACTGGGATTTTTGCCCATTCTTCAAGGCAAATCTGCTCCAGCTCCTTCAAGTTGGATGGGTTCTGCTGAGTACAGCAATTTTTTAGTCATACCACAGATTCTCAATTGGATTGAGGTCTGGGCTTTGACAAGGCCATTCCAAGACATTTAAATGTTTCCCCTTAAACCACTTCAGTGTTGCTTTAGCAGTATGCTTAGGGTCATTGTCCTGCTGGAAGGTGAACCTCCATCCCAGTCTCAAATCTCTGGAAGACTGAAACAGGTTTCCCTCAAGAATTTCCCTGTATTTAGCGCCATCCATCATTCCTGCAATTCTGACCAGTTTCCCAGTCCCTGCCAATGAAAAACATCCCCACAGCATGATGCTGCCACCACCATGCTTCACTGTGGGGATGGTGTTCTCGGGGTGATGAGAGGTGTTGGGTTTGCGCCATACATAGCGTTTTCCTTGATGGCCAAAAAGCTTAATTTTTGTCTCATCTGACCAGAGTACCTTCTTCCATATGTTTGCGGAGTCTCCCACATGCCTTTTGGCAAACACCAAACATGTTTGCTTATTTTTTCTTTAAGCAATCGCTTTTTTCTGGCCACTCTTCCGTAAAGCCCAGCTCTGTGGGGTGTACGGCTTAAAGGGCTTAAAGTGGTCCTATGGACAGATACTCCAATCTTCGCTGTGGAGCTTTGCAGTTCCTTCAGAGTTATCTTTGGTCTCTTTTTTGCCTCTTTGATTAATGCACTCCTTGCCTGGTCCGTGAGTTTTGGTGGGCGGCCCTCTCTTGGCAGGTTTGTTGTGGTGCCATATTCTTTCCAATTTTGAATAATGAATTTAATGGTGCTCTGTGGGATTTTCAAAGTTTCTGATATTTCTTTATAACCCAACCCTGATCTGTACTTCTCCACAACTTTGTCCCTGACCTGTTTGGAGAACTCCTTGGTCTTCATGGTGCCGCTTGCTTGGTGGTGCCCCTTGCTTAGTGATGTTGCAGACTCTGGGGCCTTTCAGAACAGGTGTGTATATATACTGAGATTATGTGACACTTAGATTGCACACAGGTGGACTTTATTTAACTAATTATATGACTTCTGAAGGTAATTGGTTGCACCAGATCTTATTTAGGGGCTTCATAGCAAAGGGGGTGAATACATATGCACACACCACTTTTCCGTTATTAATTTTGTATCATTTTTTGAAACAAGTTATTTTTTTCATTTCACTTCATCAATTTGGACAATGTTGTGTATGTCCAATACATGAAATCCAAATAAAAATCATATTTAAATTACAGGTTGTAATGCAACAAAATAGGAAAAAACGCCAAGGGGGATGAATACTTTAGCAAGGCACTGTACGGTCAGATGTACGTAACAAGACACACACACACACACATACACACATACACACACTTGGCACTATGCTATGTAGGACTTAATGCTCTGAGTGGCTCCAGAGAGAGTGTATTATAGCTCTTAGTCTAACTGTAGCTCAGGCTCTTGGCTTTCCACCCTCATTCCTACACTATTGAGTGTGTACTATAGGCCCTATGGAGGGTGAGTTTACAGAGACAGGAAATAGAAAGACATCACTGAGGTCAATAAGGCAACAAGGGCAGTCAGGGCAACCTCTCTCCCGTCCTTTCACACAAATCAACCTCTACACTATTGTGAGTCTGAGCCACCCCACTCACAGCTTGATTAAAGCTCTCCTTCCCCATTGACATTTTTGCAGAGGAAAAAATAACAAACGGAGATTGCTCAAATAGTGCAACACAGGCTACTGCTTAAAAATGTATGTTTTTCCTTTGCCGGTATATGACCAGTATAGCCTACTCTTTCTCTCTAGTCTATGTTTTCTATCAACCATGCAGCAAACAAGTCAGGTAAAAACAAAAAGTATTTAGAAATAGGCAGCTTTTATATACTCTGCAACAGCTGTAGCCTACAGATAATACTTCCTATTTGCAATCCATAAAAAAAGATGGATATAGGCTACACAAAGGCTATAAGCAATTGATAAACATCAATATTCTTTACACCAGTGACCAGTAAAGTATAGATGAGCATTGGCTAAGGACCAGCACATTCACCAGCTAACTCTTTCCTCTCTCTCTCTCTCACAGCATCGTATTTACCAGGTGTGACAGCAACACTTCCAGTGCTGAGACCCGATAGCGGCCCTAGCAACGTACGACAAAACGTGACCAAGTAGCCTATAAATGTGTATGATACAATATTGCGCAGAAGCAGCCTTGAATGTAGACATTGTAGGAGCTTACCTTTGACCGCATTTATCTGACTGCAGCAGTAGTAAAGTCCACATTCCATTATCCTATAATAAACTTCAACACTTACTAGGCTATGCTATCCTGTTTCTAACGAACCATTTATGAGGACTCGCACACGTTCATGCGTGAGACTGTTAAGACAACGTAATGTCCGATACATTTATTTTGTCTCGGTCGCGGTCCACTTCAGCGCCACTTAGCGTCCTTCAATAAAGTGTCACGCGCGCGCATCCCACAACATCCCCACATCTTTGCAGCTACTCTTCAGCATCCCTGCAGGCTATGTAGGCTACAACGCAAGCTGACGAGACACCGCAATGTGCATGTATATCATTACTAGACATTTATCTTGCCGAATAAATGGTGCTGTCACTAAGCATTCTAGCTCTGTCCCATACAAGTTATATGAGTACAGCAGGGCACCTGTGACGGTGTAGAATACTTACCATCAATCGCCATTATGTTCTGTTCCAGATTGGACCAAAGCGAGGGGGTGAAAACTGGGGAGAGGTTATTCTTGTGTTTGAAGGAGGGGGGTATTGTTTGATAGCCTGATCCAAGGCCATCCTGACTGTTTAGCGAAGCCGAATGTGAACTCGCGAGATTAGGATGATTTGTATGAGGTTAATTGTTTGACGCTGTTCATCAGCACCGCACGCTGACTAGCCTACCTGTGCAATGAAAAATTGTAGGTTATTTGCAATAGTTACATATTTTAGTAATTGCATGTTAAGAAAGTATGATGGATTATGTATAAAAATGTGATAGTGCAACATGAATACATTATATGTGTTTATCAAATAGCCTATGTTATGTATTGCAGCATACTGTGATATAGCGTTATACTATTGTAATATTCAAAGTTTCATAAATTAAATGAAAATTGTGTAGTTATCAACAGGCCTATTGGTCAGTTGTTCCATTCTTGCCTGGTCTGTGTTTTTGTGCTTATATTAACTTTTTTTTCCCAATGATTTATTACTGTGTAATTATTGGCAAAAACACCCAGATAAAATTCCATGTAACGATATGGTGGGCTGGCCTATATGCAAAAAGTAGCCAGGTAATGTGATTCAAACGAATGATTATTTAAGTTTTGGTGTTTTAAATTTTCTTCCTGAATGAGCATCATGGGTAAAAAGACACGCCCTTCGAAACCTCTCAAACGTTTCCGCAAACTAGCCTGTGGCCGCTTGTTCTGATCATCTACATTCGGAATCACTGTTACGGAACTGTCAGACCTAGAACTTTTCGATTCCAGGCCAAATATGAGTGAAATCAAACCTACCGATCCAGCAACAACTAACGCTGGAGAGGAAAAGGACTGGGCAGCAGCAAAATCCGTTTTTTGACAGTTTAAAAACAAAGAAACCTAGACCCGTAAGTGATACATACGCAGTTGTTGTTTGCCTTTGCAGATAAAAGTGTCTACACGGGTCTATAGTGTCCTATTTGCTAATCTCTAGTATCGTAATTTTTTCTTGACTATACTTGTTTTCCAAATAGCCAAAACCCCAATATGCCATTACTATCGCCGTCTCTTCTCGCACCCTGTTCAACATGGTTGCGGAGCGGAAGATCTCCGAGGAAGAGGGAGTCGAGAAGTATGTGACCTATCAACAGGAGCACGAGAATGAGCCGCTCATGCCAGGTGTGGCGTTTCCTCTCGTGAAGGTAGATTAGAGGGATTGAATTAACGTTAACTAAGGAAATGGCCTATCTGCATGTCTGTGCGTGGGAGAGTCAGAGGGTTGCCTTACAATTGCATAAGGATTCCTTAGTGGAGGTGAAGGGGAAACCTCACTCACTGAATTGCCAATGCCTTTAAGCCTAGATGCAATTTGTGTAATCCATCCAGAATAGTGTTTTGCTCAGAATTACACAATAGCCAATGTTATTTTCAACTGTTATGCACCATCTATACATGAATGCATGAATGACACTGTGGCTGAATGACACTGTTACTCTGGTTCTTCCCATATACAAGCTCCTCTATAATGGTATGCAAGCACAGGATTAGGCCATGTTGTAATCTAAAGCAGAATGACAAATGTTTAAATCAAGGGAAGACCCCTTAAAATAATCTGTGTGGGTGTGTTCCTGCATTTGTGAGTGCGTGTGTGTGCACATATTCATATGTTGCAACTTGGAACAGAATATTCGGAAGCAACACCCTAGAAGTAGTTGGTGTAGTCAGCCAGGTTCTGTCATTGTTTCTTAATCCCTGTGTCAATTATGTCCTAAAAACACACACTCTCTCACACACACTGCAGGCTCTGATGACAGTGAACTCCAGACTGAGGCAGCTCTACCCCGACAGTGAGGAGCTGTTTGATATCGTCCTGATGACTAATAACCACGCCCAGGTCGGGGTGCGCCTCATCAACAGCATCAACCACTACGGTCCGTAAAACACGCCTACAACACGCCTACAACACGCATAATGCTCTGTAACGCATACTGCTATGTTACAGCCACGCCTACAATATTATAATATAATTATTTTGCAATGTATGTTCATTCATGTTTCATTAAATGATTGGACATCCAATTTTAAGCTGTTCTTTTGACCAATTATGTTGTTTTTAATGTTTATATGCCTGTTGTTCATGATATGTAGTGGAAATCTGTGGCTACCAGCCTGATGACTATACCATCACATTTCTATGAGTTTCTGATAAAAACAATGGTTCCCTCTACCTAACAGATTTAACCATTGAGCGATTCTGTATGACGGGAGGGCAAAGCCCCATTGGCTATCTAAAGGCCTACATGACCAACTTGTACCTCTCCAAGGATGGAGACAAAGTCACAGAGGCCATTGAGGAGGGTAGGTGGTGATGCTACTGGTTTAGGATGGACTGGTTTAGGTTAGCATGGATGCTAAGTCCAAAACCGTAGATTACATTGTGGTAACACTTTATAGTATAGCCTACAGATATAATGCATGGATGATGCTGTCATAATGGGTTGTGACTAGATGGTGTACAGCCAAGGACGAGTTTACAATTTAACTACCATGAGAGTTGAGAGAGGATGAGGATTTCACTGTTGGTTTTACACACAACATAATTGTACAGTTTCAGTTAATAAAACTGACGATTGTTTATTTTTTATGAAAGTATTGATGATGAGTGTACTGTTGCTTGTATGCGTGTGCTTCCTGTAACTGTCACCTCCTGATGTCATCCCCGTCACACTAGGTAGCTAGCTACAATAGTTCCCGCAGTAGTTGCAGGATGAAGGACAATGTGTCCCGGTGTTGTTGCCGTTCATGTTCACCCCATTGGGTAGACTGTATCACGGTAACATCTAGACGCTTACCAATATGAGTTATTTTAGTAGGAGACTAAAATCCTATTAAAAAATATTAATAAATTGGTCACGTTATACTAGCTACCGCCGGCGACACCGTGAAAATACAGCTGCCGAGTAGGAAGCACCTCACGTCGGCAAGCACAACACCGGCGTGCCTTGTCGTCGTGATTAGCTAATTGGCATGTCAAGGTGACATCCATATGAACACTAGCTGTCATCACAGATGAATGGAGAAACCAGTTAGTTAAAAGTATATTTACTGTCCTCGCCTAGGGACTCATAGCTAGCTAACTAACCTAACTCTCTAGCGAGAGAATGGCGATTTTTGCGTCACTTCCGTCCGTAGCTCTATACCATCTAGCCATAACTGTTGTAATGCGTTGTAAGACTTGTTATGAGCATGTATAAGCCCCTTGTAATGTCTTATAAACAGGCATTGCTGCAGCGACCATGTTTACATCTGGAGATGTGGAGAACCAGCTGTCTGACACACAGCTGAAAGTAGCTTTTGACGGGGACGCTGTCCTCTTCTCTGACGAGTCGGAGATCATCGTAAAACAACACGGCCTGGACACGTTCTTTGAGCACGAGAAGGAATTTGAGAACAAACCTCTTGCACAGGTGATCATGAGAGGACTCTGAAGCAGAGTATATGCCTCCATTTTATATTCGCTTTTGGCATGGTCGTTTGTGTCAGATTTCCTTTACTCCCTATAGAGGGGTTATAGATGTTCAACTAACTAGGAACAACCGTTTTAACTAACTATCCCAAATCCTAGACCTAACCCTTTCCTTATACCTACCAAGATGTTGCATAACTAAAGACCATCTATAATAGGGGACTATCCCAATAAAGTGGAACCCATTGATGTATTATTTGCTTTGATTTTGGACAAAAGTAAAAATAATACTATGCCAACCCTATGTCTCATTCATTCACTCAGGGTCCCTTGAAGTGTTTCCTGGAGGCGCTGGGGAAGCTCCAGAGAAAGTTCTACGCAAAGAACGAGCGTATGACCTGCCCCATTCGTACCTACCTGGTAACAGCCCGCAGCGCAGCCAGCTCAGGGGCCCGTGTCCTCAAGACCCTCAGGAGCTGGGGCCTGGAGATTGACGAGGCCCTGTTCCTAGCCGGGGCCCCCAAAGGGCCCCTCCTGCAGAAGATCCGGCCCCATATATTCTTTGACGACCAGATGTTCCACATCGAGGGAGCCAAGGAGATGGGGACCATCGCTGCACACGTGCCTTATGGGGTCGGTCAGAAGTATCACAAGGGGAAACTTATTGAGCAGCCCGCTAGAGATGCCAAAGACAAGAAGTAGTGAGCCTCCTAGCGGTGGGAAGGTAGCATAAGTTATGCAAATGCTTAGTTGCACACAACCCTGTCATCAGCTGTAGTAACTTCATTGTTTATCACCTTTTTTAGAGCAGGATTTTGTATTATTTCTCTCTATTTACACTTTATTACAAATGCCTTTATCAGAATATATTGTATTAACAGGAGAGAAAAACATATTGTTTAGGACTGTAGATGGAATACTCACATCAGGGACCAATGTCACCTAATGTTCTCTGTCATAAGGAGAGAAGGGATCACTTTCCTACAATCCTCATCATCATCACATTATTGTCTTTAATAGTATTTGGTAAAATATGTAGTTTTTTATGAAAATGTATGTCATAAAGTGTTTTCAAATTTTACACAGGAAAGTATATTTAGGAAAGTGTATTTTATATCTTTAGAGAAGCACATTTTGTCTCATGGCCAGATAAACATGTATGTTATATTCTCAACACTCCCGTATCTAGACTTCTCGCTTCTGCCCACGCATGTCATGGTTTTGTGTATTGCGGTTTAACATAGCTTTTAGGTACTTTGCATAGAGGATTGGTAAAGATTTGTGCACTCTAGTAAACGTATGAAAAGGAACACTTACAAGGTAGAATGCTTATTGATATGAAGTGCTGCAAATAAATCTGCATTTTGGTTTTAATGCACACCATACAAAACAGACTTTAACACACTATTATTTACACTTAAAGATGCAGTCTGGGATCTTAAGCACTTACAATTACAAATTCGTAACATATTGTACGAAATGGAATTCGTAACATATCATACGAATTGCAAATGTTAAATTTTTTATTTTTTGCAGGACATAACATATCATACAAAATGGATGACATAGTACACAATGGTGCACATTTTTCTCGTGAGCACAACTTTCGAAATTACTGGCTGAAATGTACTAAACTAGGAGCAACACTTTAATATTCATTCATTATTTTTACTATCCATGCATTGTTCTAATGAATTCCATTTTCTTATTCCATTTAAAAACATTACTTTTTAAACGCAAGAAACCTCACCTTGCTCTTAGTAAAGCTATATTAGGCCATATTTATTATTGCTATATCAAAATCTCAAGCAAGCTAGTTCAACATATCTGTTCCACTAGTAACATTTTACGTATCAGGCGTTGTGTTCCAAATAGTTTACAGTTGAATATACATTATGTATAAGGGCAGTCTATATTGTATGTTTAACTTTTTTTTTTTTTTTTGTGATAACACATATTTTAGGAATTGTCCCCAAAAAAGTACCAACATTTCTATTTTTAAGAATATCCCAGTCTGTATTTTTTCAATTTTAATTTAACATAAAGGGTTTATCATATGCATATTGCAGTAAGTTTGCAGTGAGGTTAAATAAAGGTTTGAAATGGATGTGAATTGTTGATTCATGTTTTTATGTATTATCAACACATTTGTCACGTCTCCTCCCGTTGCTCCCCTCCGGCGCTCTGATTCTCACTGATCACCAGAATTTGGAGCACATACGGGCAGCGAAACGGATGAACTCTTGTCAAGCCAGGTGGTCCCAATTTCTCACTCGCTTTCAGTTTATTCTGTCCTACCGCCCAGGTTCCCAGAATGTGAAAGCCGACGCACTCTCCAGGATGCACCATACCGGAGCAAGGAAGGATCTGGGGGGTCCTATCCTGCCACCGTCTCTCATCGTGGCACCTGTCTTTGGGATGTGGATGAAGACATCCGCCTGGCGGCTCAGGAGGACCCAGCGCCTGCCAACGCCCCTCCGGGGCGCGTGTATGAGTGGGCGAGGTGTATGAGACCGGCAGGGTGAGTGGGCGAGGTTTCTACCCTGGGCAGAATATGCCCAGAACTCGCTCGTTCACTCCTCCACAGGGCTCACTCCCTTCCAGTGCGTCCTGGGGTACCAGCCGGCCCTGCCCCCTTGGACACCCAGCCAGACCGATGCGCCCGCTGTCGACGAGTGGTTCCGCAGGGCCGGACAGGTCTGGGACGCCGCCCATGTCCATCTCCAGAGGGCCATTCGTCGGCAGAAGGACCAAGCCGACCGCCATCGCAGTGAGGCCCCCGTATTCCAGCCTGGTGATGGTGTCTGGCTGTCCACAAAAAACCTCCCTCTCCGCCTGCAAGAAACTGAGCCCCCGGTTTGTGGGGCCGTTTAAGGTCCTCCAGTGGATAAATGAGGTATCGTACCGGCTGCTCCTTCCCCCTCACTACCGTGTCTTACCCACTTTCCATTTGTCTCTCCTCAGGCCGGTGGTTCCTGGGTCCTCTGGCGGATACCGTCCCCCGGGGTACGCCCCCTCCGCCTCTGGACATTGACGGGAGTCCGGCGTATGCGGTGAGGGACCTGCTGGACTCCAGGTTCCGTGGGGGCGGCTCCATTACCTGGTGGACTGGGAGGGGTATGGTCCTGAGGAGAGGAGCTGGGTTCCGGCTAAGGGACGATCTGGACCCCAACCTAATTCGGGACTTCCACCATTGCCGCCCTGACCGGCCCGCTCCTTGTCCTCGGGGGCGTCCTCAAGGCTGGCGATGTCCTGCGGCGGGAGCCGCGCGTCCGGGAGGGGGTACTGTCATGTCTCCTCCCGTTGCTCCCCTCCAGCGCTCTGATTTGCCGGTCTACTGAGCCACCGGTCTGAGCGCACCACCTCGGCAACACCAGAATGGAAACCCAACGCACCCTAATCACCTCCAGCGCACCTGCACCTCATCATCTCATCACCACCCCTATATTTACATTTTAGTCATTTAGCAGACACTCTTATCCAGAGCGACTTACAGTTAGTGAGTGCATTAATTTTTTCATACTGGCCCCCCGTGGGAATCGAACCCACAACCCTGGCGTTGCAAGCGCCATGCTCTACCAACTGAGCTACACGGGACCATATATATATATATATATATAGCCCTGGACTGTTCAGTGTTGTGTTGTGTGTGATTGTTAGTGTCATGTCGTGTACTCGCTCTTTGTTGTTCTCTTGCTCAGTGTGAAGTAAACCTTTACATTGTTGATGTCTGCGTCTGTGTCCTGCCTCTTCGGTCCTCAGTACTCGTCACAACATTGATACAAACCTGATTGAGATGTTGTGGCAGGACCTGAAACTAGCAGTTCATGCTCGAAAACCCACAAATGTCGCTGAGTTAAAGCAGTTCTGCATGGAAGAGTGGGCCAAAATTCCTCCCCAGTGATGTGAGAGACTGAACAACAACTACAGGAAGCGTTTGGTTGCAGTCATAGCAGCAAAATGTGGCACAACCAGTTACTGAATGTAAGGGGGCAATTACTTTATCACTCAGGGACATTGGGTGATGTATACATTTTTTATTAAAAATGAAATGAAATAAGTATCACATTTTTGTGTTATTTGTTCAGTCAGGCTCCTGTTTAACTCACCTACAACTTGCAGGCTTGATTTATGAGTGGGAGAGAACCAGACAAAAAAAGGGTTATTTCCTAGTGTGAATATTTAGCACTTCCTGGTGTCAATTCAGCTACAGGATGCATTCTCTAGAGTTGATCCTCAACACTGAAAGGTGTTGCTGCTTAATACTGAGGGTGTTGAAAAAACACTTCCATGATAAACTCTTTATTACATTATTTACAAAATGTGAGCCATTGTCGCTTGAGAGTTTTGACGGAATCCCTCACCTGGGAACAATTTCTCTCATTACTGCTTTAGCTACTGCAGATTATGATGCATGCCTGCATGGAAAGCACTATATCCATTTAGAAAACATGTAAACTTATCACCAGACAATATTTGTACCCTTGACAAGGGGAGAGTTCAATAAAGTCCATTTTGACTGAAAGGCATCTCAGGTGTGGGGTGAGCTCAAATAGGCATGGGTGCAGCTCTTCCAACATTATGGGCTGCACAAATAGAACATAGTTTACAAAAAATTTCAACAAATGTAGTAAACCCAAATGTGTGCCAAATCTATTAATATACATTACCAGTCAAAAGTTTGGACACCTTCTCATTCCAGGGTTTTTCTTTATTTTATCTTTTTACCTATTTTCTACATTGTATGAAATAACACATATGGAATCATGTAGTAACCCAAAAAGTGTTAAAGAAATCAAAATATATTTTATATTTTAGATTCTTCAAAGTAATAACCCTTTGCCTTGATGACAGCTTTGCACACTCTTGGCATTCTCTCAACCAGCTTCATGAGGAATGCTTTTCCAACAGTCTTGAAGGAGTTCCCACATATGCTGAGCACTTGTTGGCTGCTTTTCCTTCACTCTGCGGTCCAACTCATCCCAAACCATCTCAATTGGGTTGAGGTCGGGTGATTGTGGAGGCCAGGTCATCTGATGCAGCACTCCATCACTCTCCCTCTTGGTCAAATAGCTCTTTCACAGCCTGGAAGTATGTTTTGGGTCATTGTCCTGTTGAAAAACAAAATGATAGTCCCACTAATCGCAAACCAGATGGGAGGGCGTATCGCTGCAGAATGCTGTGGTAGCAATACTGGTTAAGTGTGCCTTGAATTCTAAATAAATCACGACAGTGTCACCAGCAAAGCAGCCCCACACCATCACTCCTCCTCCATGCTTCACGGTGGGAACCACACATGCGGAGATCATCCGTTCACCTACTCTGCGTCTCACGGCAGTTGGAACCAAAAATCTCCAATTTGGACTCTTCAGAAAAAAGGACAGATTTCCACCGGTCTAATGTCCATTGCTCATTTCTTGGCCCAAGCAAGTCTCTTCTTATTTTGGTGTCCTTTAGTAGTGGTTTCATTGCAGCAATTTGACCATGAAGGCCTGATTCACGCAGTCTCCTCTGAACAGTTGATGTTAAGATGTGTCTGTTACTTGAATTTATTTGGGCTGCAATCTGAGGTGCAGTTAACTCTAATGATTTTATCCTCTGCATCAGAGGTAACTCTGGGTCTTCCTTTCCTGTGGCGGTCCTCATGAGAGCCAGTTTCATCATTGCGCTTGATGGTTTTTGCGACTGCACTTGAAGAAACAAAGTTCTTGAAATTTTCTGGATTGAGTGACCTTCATGTCTTAAAGTAATGATGGACTGTCGTTTCTCTTTGCTTATTTGAGCTGTTCTTGCCATAATATGGACTTGTCATTTACCAAATAGGGCTATCTTCTATATACCACCCTACCTTGTCACAACACAACTGATTGGCTCAAACGCATTAAGAAGGAAAGAAATTCCACAAATTAACTTTTAGCAAGGCACGCCTGTTAATTGAAAAGCATTCCAGGTGACTACCTCATGAAGCTGGTTGAGAGAATACCAAGAGTGTGCAAAGCTGTCATCAAGGCAAAGGGTGGCTACTTTGAAGAATCTGAAATACATTTTGATTTGTTGAACACTTTTTTGGTTACTACATGAATCCGTATGTGTTATTTCATAGTTTTGATGTCTTCACTATTATTCTACAATGTAGAAAATAGTAAAAATAAAGAAAAACCCTGGAATGAGTAGGTGTCTCCAAACTTTTGACTGGTACTGTATATATAAATCACCCCTTTTGACACATGGTCCAAACCATGTGACAATTTTGCAAGGTAGGGAAAAGCACTGGGAGGCGGGGTCACACGTGCATGTTCGCTGCCAACATTTATTTTCCACTGCATCAGCCCCCTGTTGTAGCAGAGAGACATCATTAAAGGAACGAGAGGTGAAAGGGTCAATGCATGCCAGCACGAGGAGAGGAGAGGTAGGGGAATCAGCAGCCGCTTTCGCTGCACAGTCTGCAGCAGCATTTCCTAGGGAAACAGGGTCAGTGTGTTTAGTGTGGGCTGCACACTTGCACATTGCAAGAGTGGAGCACAGGAGTACTGCCTCAAGCAGTTCTTTAACCATTTTA